CTTATATATATATATATATATATATTATATATATATATATAAAACCACTCTTATATATATAAATAAAAGTGGTCATTGCAGATACAATTAAGATGAAGTAAACCAGGAGTAGAGTAGGCCCCTAATACAATATGACTGGTGTCCTTATAAAATGGGAAAATTTAGCTGGGCATCATGGTGCGGGCCTATAGTCCCAGCTACTGAGGAGTCTGAAGCAGGAGGATCCCTTTTTCTCAGGGGTTCAAGGCCAACCTGGGCCACATAGTCAGACCCCATCTCAAAAATAAATAAACTTTAAAATTAAAAAGGAGAAATTCGAACACAGATACATATGCACCAAGGAAGAAAAACATGTGAAGTTGAAAGCAGAGATGTATAAGCCAACGAACACCAAAGATTACCAGCAAACCACCAGAAGCCAGAGATGGACCAGATTGTTTTTTATTGATCCCAGAGGGAGCTAACCCTGCAGACATGTTAATTTTGGACATCCAGCCACCAGAGCTGAGAGACAATACATTCCTTCTGTGTAAGCCACACAGTTTGTGGTGCTTCTTTATAACTTCCCTAACAAACTAACACTAAAAGGGTTGCTTTGAGAGCAGATGAAACATTGAATAATATATAATCCATAAGGGGCTCTTCATGTATTACTTTATACTATAAATATTTTTACTTGTAGCTACTTCAATTAAGTTTAGTATTAAAATTCTGTTTTATTCATTATTAAAATTTGAAGGAAGGGGCTAGACAGTGGACACTGGACAGATCCTATCTAGATGCTCACCAAGAAGAGGAGGACAATGGAGCTCAAGAGTCTCAGTCCAAGCAGCTGTCCCACCCCCCATCACCCTCAGGCCCACGTGTCCCTGCTGTCAACCCAGAACCCTGCCATCAGTCAGTCAGCTTTCTATCCGAGCAAGAATAACCTTGAGGTTCGTTCTGAACTTGTATTCCCTTGGGAAACAGTTTAACCTCCAGAGACTTGGAAAGAGCAGCAGGAACTATCAGAGCAGCCAAATGAAATAATTCCTGTCTGTTGCTTATTAATTTTTAAAAAATATGAATAAAATATTTCACATGAGGTGTTCTGACGTTGGTGTTTGGTCCTTACCTTCCTAGAATAGTATCCTTATACAGGATATTTTTAAGGCAGAACTCTGTCTTCTAACCACTGCCCTGGAACCCACAGTGCACTTTGGTCAGGTAGTTAGAGAAGGGCACAAATAAAAACCAATGGTTTCTTGGGAGGACTTGCTCATTTGGTAAACATTTATTAAGTACTTGCAGTGTGAAAGACAGGGTGCTGGGCAATGTGGAGGAACTATAGAGATGAAGTAAACAAAGTCCCTGCCTTCAAGGAACTTCTGATTAAGTCGAGGTCACACACACACACACACACACACACACATACACACACACACACCTTTTTAATGATAAGAGGAAAATGTAAGCAGGGCTTCAGTTTAGAGAGGATCAAATTTCCACAGGATTTAGAGGGAGGTAGGAACTACTCAAACCTGGGGGAAACAGGGAGAATCAAATGTATTTCCCTGAAAAAAATGCATTTTGAACAAACAAAAGGTGAAGAGAAAGAGTTTATTCAGAAATACATTCTGCTAATGCATGCTACTCTACACTCTCTGTCAGAGGCAGAAACACAAAGAAAAGGTGGTGTTTCTACCTCAGCAGCAGGGTCAGGACCTAACAGGCACACTTTGGTGCCCTGGGCTGGAAAGTTCTTTCAGAGGCTGCAGAATTCAGAGCCTCCCAGGTGAAGGGCCATCTTTGCAGCCTGGAATTCTGCCCAACACATCCATGCTACCCAAATGTGGCCTTGTTCAGCGCCTTTACATGTTTTTGTTTCACCTGGTGCTGCCTCTGCAGCACTTTGAAAGCCATTGGTCATTTGTTAAATGCACATCATATACATTCTTGGAAGCTCCCAGTCTGGAAAATCACATAATTAAGGTGTGAGGATTTATGGATAAAAGAATAGGGTTAAGGATGACCACTCAACACCTGTGTGACTTTATAATTGGCCTACCAACACAAACAGTAATTGGTATCTTGGAAATCAAGGCAGGCAGCTCAGTAGGACCAGAAGCTGCTTCAGAGAATATTAAAAATGCACAAAAAATAATAAGATGGACACTCAGACTTTGGCTGCTGGGAGCCAGTGGGGTTGCTGTGAAGATGGGCATAGGTAAGTGCAACCTGGGACATGCAAGGCTGGGATGTGCTTCTCTGAGGAGGGAGCCCCAAGTGCAGACATTCATTTAAAATTAAAGGGAAAAAAAATCAAACTGGAAGCCATGCTGAGCCTTTCCCACTGAAGTTGTTACTCATCTCTGCTATTTTAGCTCTCCTTGCCTTGGAAAAAAACCACATGTGAACCAGCACAATTTCCCTGTTACACTGTCATTGTTCCCCTATCTTGCAATTACAAATGAGCTAATTGGTGCTTTATGAACACATATTACAGCAGACATCAAGGAATAAACTTAGAATCCTATCTCTGTAAGGATTGAATTTCAGAGGTCCAGACAAAAGCCAACTCTTCCTGGGTATGTGCTGCATACCAATGCTCTGTGTATGGTGTCTTGTTTAATCTTTTCAAAAAACCTAGTAGGTAAGTACTACTACCATTACCTTTATTATTTATTTATTTCTGTTGTTCCTTCTTTATTGGTGCATTTTAAATAAACATAATACTGGAATATGTTATTATCTGTTTGTGTATGCATACAATATAACAATATAATTTGGGTTTTATGTGTGAGAAAACTGAGGCTTATGATAAGTAATAGATGAAGCTCTCACAGCTATGGTTGAGTTAGATTTCAAGCCCAGAGAGTCTGGCATAAGAGCTTGCACTTTAGCTATGTGCCATAAGTCTAGAAAAAGTCCCAGGTGGCAAGCAGCCACATGTTTGGAAGGCTCCCTTTATCCCCACCCCTGCATATCTCCTTTACCTGCATTCCTGAAAACAAGGGCTTTGGGGATCTGCTACATAACATATAGAGCCCTCAATATGGAAAACACAAAATGTTTTTTGTTTTATTCAAATATTAACAGTTTCGATGCTCTCGAGTTTGTGTTTCCTTCTCAAGTACTGACAGATACTATGTCCTTTATAGGTCATTGGTTTAACTCTACTTGTACAATTGATAAGTGTTTAAAACTCTGAAAACCAGATTAAGTTAGCAAACATAATTAATCTGAATAAATCCACTTTTAAATTACTATATCAAGTATTTGAGTAAATCAGGCTATAGCAAACATATTACTTTGCTCATAACTAATGAAGTGACTAGGGTTATAAAGAATGCTAAAGTTGAAGACAGCTATTTCAGGGTATCCAAAAGTGTCTTTTTTCTCCTTCCCCCACTGAGGGGAAAAAGGAATTATAGACAGCCCTCCATCTCCATGGATTCTACATCCTTGAGTTCAAACAACTGAAGATGATAGAAAATACTCAGAAAAAAAATTGCATCTATACTGACTTATTTGCTTGTCATCATTCCCTCTCCACACAGTATGACAACTATTTACGTAGTGTTTATATTGTGTTAGG